GCCCCCGGGCGAGCAGGGCCGACGCGCGCTCCCGGGGAAGCGGGGCTCCGGAGAGCCGGGCTCCTTGCGCTGGGCCGCGAGCAGCTGGCGGGAGACGGCAGCGCCGAGCAGCTGTACCTGCCAGGGCGCGGGCGGTGATCAAGCGCGCCCTTGGCGTAAGCGTGCCGGGTGTTTCAAAGTGACCCAGTGCGGCTTGTAGCTTTTCTTCAGGATTCAGCAGATTAATACTTGTAGGAGATAATAAATCACGTCGTAGAGTTCTCCCCGAAAAGCACAGCTCTTTGTCCTTTCCTCTCTGCTCTTCAAGGACCCTCTTATTAGCATCCAGATCGGATGGAGTCTGGCTTTCTTTTTGCTGCTAACTGCTTGAAGTTACTGTATGTAACATTTAGTGTATTACATTTTCGTGTCGATTCCTTTTTATCTCGTTTCCTAGGGGAATTCTTTAGTTATTCTTTTTTTTTTTTTTTTTTTAGTTATTCTTTTTTTTTTTTTTCTTTTGGTCTTTTTGAGACAGAGTCTCACTGTGCAGTTAAGGCTGGCCTTGAGCTCACTTTGTAGCCCAGGCTGGTCTCCAACTCTCAAAGATCCTCCTGCCTCAGCCTCCTGAGTGCTGGGATTACAGGCGTGCGCCACCACACCTGGCCTTAGTTCTTCTTGTTGAAGCGTATGTTGTGCGCCTGTGACGTTGTAAAATATGTTTGGTTTTTGTCCCTGTTTCTTGGCTTGGAACTCCCGAGATCCTTGGACCCCTCCAGGTGAGGTCGTTATAACTAGGCTAAGGAATGGGCTGCTCTGGCAGCCTTGGCGGGCTAATTTCGGTAGAGGGTTGGGAGCGGGAAGGGGAGACTACAGTGAGCCTCCAGAGGGGAGAGCGCTGGGGACTGAGTCCATCGCCTTCGGCCAAGGAGTCAGTCAGTCGTGACTGTGACGAAGCCTTCGTAGGAGCCTGGAAGATTAAGGTGTTGAGGGCAGTGGAGAGAAACAGCTGGCGGGCGGTGAGCCCAAGGAGGGGCTGGGAGCTCCGTGCTGCTTCCTGAGCGGTCTCTTCACCTGAGTGCTGTCTGTGTGACAGCCCAGCAGGTGGGAGTTCTCAGCCAGTTAGTGGGACCTGAGCAGGCAGGGTGGGAGCCCTGAAGCAATCCGACACCGGCATTGGCGTCAGGTGGGGGGGTGGTCTCCTGGAACTGAGCCCCTCCCCTGTGGGCCCTGCATGGCCTCCTGTGGGCAGGGTCAGAGTGGGTTGAAGTAGACGCTCAGCTGATGTCCACTGCAAGACCGAATGTCCGCTTGTGAGTGTAACCCAGAAGCTGAGTGTTCATACCCGTATTCTCAGAGTGCTTAAACTTTTTTTAGTCTTTTTGAGACAGGGTCTCGCTATGCAGTCCAGGCTGGCCTTGGGCTCACTTTGTAGCCCAGGCTGGTCTCAGACTCGCAATGATCCTCCTGCCTCAGCCTCCTGAGTGCTGGGACTACAGGCGTGCACCACCACATCCGGCTACTTATACATTTTTCAACCTCCTAATGAGCCTCACTCCTTTTGTTCTCACCTCTTTCTTTCTCTTTTTCTCTTTCCACCCAGATTTTTATTCTCAAAACCATTCTTTTTTGTCTAGTTTGGTTTGGTAGTTCTGCCACCTGCTGCATGGGCAACCCCGCCAGCTGCCCACTTTCTCCTCTCCTCAGTTTGGTGCACGACTAACGCAGGACGTGGTCTCTATCCCCTTCCTTGGCTTGCTTGAATACATTCACAAAGGTGGTTTTTGCTTTGCCATACTGGGAATCGAACCCAGAATCTCTTGTGTGCTAGGCAAAGGCTCTGCCACCAGACTACATCCTTAGCCGCCCCCATCTGTCCACATCGAGGCTCAAGGCCTAGCTAGGCCAAAGCCTTGGCCATAGATTATTAAACCATTTTGTTATCTACATCAGCATATAGAAAAGCTGACATTCTTCTGACTTGCCCTTTTATTTTGAGGCAAAGTCTTCATAAGTTGCCCAGGCTGGCTTTGAACTTGTGGTCTTCCTGCCTGTCCCTCTAAGTAGCTGGGATTACAAACATGAGCCACTACTGTAGCTTTAAAGTCAGGTATACATCGAGTAAATTATGTGATTCCTTGCATGCACAAAGATAATGTGGCAACTGGATCACCATAGTAATTGTTCCTGAAAACCCTTTTCCTCCGTCTTAAATATCCAGATGCCTATTTGTGACATCTTGTGGTTTTTTGCTTTTTTTGTTTTCGTTCAGGAGTTTTTTGTTTGCGTTTGTTTTTTGAGACAGGGTCTCACTATGTAACCCAGGCTGGCCTTGCATGTATGGCAATCCTGCCTTAGCCTTCCGAGTGCTGGAATTAGAAGGTATACCACCATGCCCTGAGTGGTTTTTGTGTTTTTCTGAATTGATAAGAAATAATAGTCCTCCTATGTTCACCACCAGATGAAGGAAGCTCTTCTGTTTACAGTTTATTTTTCCCATTTTCACCTTATTTACATTCTTTCCAGTGTGCTGGGTGGTAGCGCCCCAGGCCTCCTGTCTATTTCTAGACTGTAGTTTTCCTGGGTTCCACCTCCTCTGTCAAGCATGTGTCCCTTTAGAATTACAGAGTGTCTCGTGGTCTCTTGTCCTCTAATGTTCTCTTTCCCACTCTGTCACATATTTATCCCATGGTGCATGTTAATATTTTTATTTCGGAGGGCTCTGAGATGAGACAGGAGCTAACTGGAATCCTCACTTGTTTTATTTTACAATTATTATTTTTTTGTACCGGGAATCGAACTCAGGACCTTGTACTTGCTCAGCTTGGGCCACAGAGCTCTATCCCCAGTCCAGCTGTTTTAAATAACTGAATGAAAACCCATGTGCGCTGGTTTCTGTTTTTTTCTGCCAGGATGGCTTCCTATTTTGTGAGCCGTCACAGAAAGGATTTAAGCACTGAGATGATCAGAACGAAAATTGCTCATAGGAAATCACTGTCTCAAAAAGAAAACAGACATAAGGAATACGAACGAAACAGACACTTCGGTTTGAAAGATGTCAACGTTCCAACCTTGCAGAGTAAAGCTGTTGCTGAATTAGATGAGACGGCTCAAGAACTTGTTCCAGAAAAGGCCAGTATCAAGCCAAGTAAGTGAGAGTCTGTCCTCATCTTAAATACTGTGCTTTTAAGAGCAAAAGTTGGTTGAATGTCTGTGGGGCTGGGGGCGCAGTAGACCAGAAGGTCAGGTCTGAAACATCCTTCTACATAACATGGTGTTTTCTGAAGAATAACTGCAGTCTGTCCACGTCGAGGCTCAAGGCCTAGCTAGGCCAAAGCGTTGGCCGTGGATTATTAAACCATTTATCTACATCAGCTTATAGAGAAGCTGACATTCTTCTGGAGCTTGGTTAAGATCCGTGTTGACAAGATAAATTGCTAAGTCTAAAAAAAAAATGGAGTGATTAAAGAATCTGTGAAATAAGAAAATGTTGGTGGCAGAAACATTGTTGAATTAGAGGAGAGAACAAAGAATTCATACAATTTGCCCACTTACGAAGGACAGGACGAGATAAAAAGAAATAGCCAAGCTGGATGTGGTGGCGCACGTCTGTAATACCAGCACTGAGGAGGCTGAGGCAGGGAGATCGCTGACAATTCCAGGCTAGTCTGAACAACATAGTGAGACCCTGTCTCAAAAAAAAAAAAAGGTGATGATAAACCCTCCCTGGACTCCTGTTTATAGGGTGGACGCTAGGAACTCAATGCCAGCTAAATAAAGCAAGGCTAAGAGGAAGGCAGCACTGGGCTAAAG